TTTTAATAAAAAAAATCATATTATGGCACTGTCCTAAGAATTTTATAAACTTTAGCTCATTTCATCCTTATTATAATCCTATAGATTGGTAATATTATATTCTCCCGTTTTATAGATGTGGAAATTGAGGCACAGAAAGGTTAAGTAACTTAACTTCAAGGTCACCCAGCTAATAAGTGGAAGAGCCAAATTTCTCAGCCAGTCTGGCTATCTGTTGCTCTCAACCATAGGAAATACACCAGGAAATAATAAGGTAGGATTTCTTTTTTCTTTGCCAAACTTAGATTCACAAAGTAGACACCAGCACTCTTCTGTACCATTTCCCTCCACCAAATTTACACGTGGGAAAGCAGGCCCAGAGAGAGAAAGAGAGCTTCCCAAGGCCATAGAGTCAGCTGGGGACAGAGCTAAAAGCAGAGGGCTGCCCCGCGACCCCCTCCTGATCTCCTATCAGATCCTTCACGTCCAACGATATGTGCCCTCAGATCAGTTTGGGAAGCATGGCAGTTTTCAGCAATGTCCACAAGTTCTTTATTATTCCTCCCTTCAAGAGGTGGAGTCTCATTATCCCTCCTTGAGTGTGGGTTGGACTGCGAGCCTCACTTCTAATGAATGAAATAAAACAGAAGTGACGGGAGAGTAGGTCATAAAAGGTACTGCACTGTCCTCTCTCTCTCGGATTGATCAGTCTGAGGGAAGACAGCTGCCACGTGTCATCCTGAGAAAGTTACTTCGCTTCTCTGCCCCGTATTCCACATTCATAAAGTACATGTGTGTGGGGGGAGGATGTGTGGGGAGGGGGCGGATCGAACTTACCACCAATGACTGCTGTGAGAATTAAGTGAGTTAATTCATGTGCCTGGCAATATTAAGTGATATATATCAAGAACACTGGGGACAACTGTATAAATTGTTCACTGTCCAAGGGCCCCCACCTTAGAAGTCAAATAGATGCTCACCAGTCCATGTCCTTTGGCCTGAGATTACTCACCAAGAGGTGGCACTGTTTTCTAATTTGTACCAGGGCCATTATGAGCCAACAACTGTCCTGATATAGTGTTCGTTGTCAGCATAAGGGTGTTAAGTGTCTAGCAAATGTGACATTGGCATTATCATGAGGCTTTGGGCTGACATTAACTGAGCTGATGCCAGCTGCGTTACCACTGTATTTGTCAGCCTTACAGAGTTCTCTAGAATAATCTCAGTGCGATATCTGTATCCAGAGCTTTGCTATGAACATTCAGATACTAGAATAATAATAATAATAATAGAATTAAATGTTAAAAAATTGACAACGTGAAAAGTTTTAAATCATGCATGGCCACAGTGTATATTGCTTAGGTGTACATATGGATATGGTTCACATGTGGAGGAATGCACAGGAATGATAAAGACCACATTTTGAATAATGGTTACCTGGGTAAGAGGGAACAGGATTAGGAAAGCATATACAGAAGCCTTCAGCTCTATTTATAATTTATTAAGCTTAATGGTGGATACACAAGTGTTTATTATTCTTTAATCTTAAGTATTTAAAATAATTTATAATCAATACTATTGGAAGAGACCATTTTTCTATGTCAGAGCTAATTTTCCTTTTTTTAAAAAATTAATTAATTAAAAAATTTTTTTCAGAGCTTATTTTTTATTTCTCTCTTCATTAGTCTCCGTTAAATATTAAGTCAGTATATTGTTTTGGATCCACAGAATCAAGCAATCATTCATTCAACAAACAATCTTTCATTCGACAAGCAATCATTCATTCAACAAGTATTTACTGTTGGATGATAAACTGTTCAAAGGGCAAAGAACTTTATATAAACATTATAACACTTATAATAACCTGTTCGGTTAGTTGACTACTTTCCGTCTCTCTATGAGGGCAGGATCTCTCTTTTATTCGTAATTATGATTTCTGCTACATAATAGATGTTCATAAATGTTAAACTGAACAAAACATAAACATAACTGTTTTTATCCTTATAGAGTTTTCAATATACTAAGGGTGAGAAAAGATATAGGACAATGCAGGTCATGATAAATGTCATAAAATTTGAGCAACAATCTATGGGAATTCATTCATACATTTTTTTCACTTGACAACTATTTATTAGGCATTTACCTGGCACTGGGCATATAACTGTAAACAAGAGAGACACGGTCATCAGTTTTTACGTGGCCACTTCTCACCACCTTCATTACCACCTCACTGGTCTATGCCACCAACATCTTTTACTTAGATTATTGCAGTAAATCAATGCCATAATCCTCACTGGTCTCCCTAATTCCACTTTGCTCCCCTCCCGTAAAATCTCAACTGTATACAGAGAGTTCTTCTTAAAACCCAAGTTAGAGCTCATCACTGCTCTGCCCTAAAACCTCCAATGGCTTCTCATCTGTGGGAGATTGCAGAAATGACCACAATTCTTTAAATTCCTCCTATCAAGAAGTGAAGTCTATTTCTCAACCCACTGAGTCTGGGCTGGCCTTGTGACAGTCTTTGTCCAGTAGAATGCGGCAGAAGGAACACTGTGAATTTTGAGTCTAGGCCTCAGCAGAATGCTTCTGCTCTTACGCTTGGAATTCTGCAGCTGCCAAGTAAACAGCTGCCAAGGCAAGCCTGTTGGGGCATGAGAGATTGCGTGGAGCAGAACCCTCTCAGGCGAGGCCACCTTAGACAAGCCAGTAGTCAGCCAACCTACCAGGTGGCTGAGGACACATGATGGAGCCCAGCTAAGATCAGCCTAGCCCAGCCTCTACCAGAAGTTTCCAGATGACCCGCAGACCCATGAGCTAAATAAATAGTTGTTGTTTTAAGCCATCAAGGTTCGCTGTGGGTTGTTATGCAGTGGAAGCTAATTGATTCACCTCCTTATTCTGAGAAAAAGTCAAGTTCTAACTGTATTTCCAGTACTTAGAACATCGCCTAGTACATGGTAAGTGCTCAACGAACATGTTGAATAAAATTTGTCAATGCAGTTAACATTCTAATGAGGGAAACAGGAAAACAGTTAGTAAATAAACTAGTCAAATAGTTATAAAATTTGATAGCTGCTATGAAGTAAATGAATAGTAGCTGAGGTAGAGCATCACAGAGTACGAGTGGGAAGGTGGCTCCTCCAGGCACTCCCCACTTCTTTTGAAACAAAAGCCAAAATCCTTATAGGGGCCTCCAAGGCCCTACCTGATACGCTGCTGACTTCATCTGCCATGCACTGCCTCGCTGCTCCAGCTCTCCTGGCCTCCCCGCTGTTCCTTTATTACATGGAGCACACTCCCACATCGAGTCCTTGATGGAATGTTCTTCCTCCAGACATACACACCACTCGCTTCCTTCCTTCCTTTGGGTCCTGCTCAGATGTCCCCCTTTCAGTAAGACATTCATAACCACCCTGTAGAAATAGCAACTCACTGATCCCCTGATTTCCCTATTCCCTTTATTTTTCTTTATTTTTCTCCATAGAAATTGTTACCAGCTGATGCATTATATACTAACTTATTTGTTTGCTGTCTGCCTCCCCCACTCAGATACAATTTACCCTACGCTGTCTGCCTCCCCCACTCAGATACAATTTACCCTTAGGACAGTATTGTCTTAGGGCAGAAATTCAGCTAGTGGATACAAAATCTGTTAAGGGGCATGCTTCCTGTCAATCCCAAAACTAAACAAGGTAAGCATTTGTCTTGGAGCCTTACTAGGAATAAGGCAAGGCCTTTTTAAAAAGCCAAAATGGCCAGGTGAGTGTTGGTTTGCTCACTGAGAACGCTACAAATGTGCTCATGGCAAGGCTAGTAATGTTACGAGGCTGGTAACACAAGTAGTAGCCATTTGTAGCATCTTTTACGATCTGCTAGGGGCATTTTAATCCATGCTATAATTTGCTTCTTGGAACAGCCCTGAGGGGTGGGCGGGGCATCTTTTATCACCCTCCATTTGCAGACCGAGATAGTGAGGAGCATAGAACTCAAGTGAGCTGCCCAAAGCCACAGACGGTACTAAGTGGTTAAACCAGATTTTAAATCCTGGGTGCTATGACTGTAAATGCAGTGCTCATTTCTTTTTCTTTCTTTCTTTCTTTCTTTCTTTCTTTCTTTCTTTCTTTCTTTCTTTCTTTCTTTCTTTCTTTCTTTCTTTCTTTCTTTCTCTCTCTCTCTTTCTCTCTTTCTTTCTCTCTCTCTCTCTCTCTCTCTCTCTCTCTCTTTCTTTCTTTCTTTCTTTCTTTCTTTCTTTCCTTTCTCTCTCTCTCTCTCTCTCTCTCTCTTTCTTTCTTTCACTGTTTATCCATTTTGGGCTCTAACCTTGTGACCTTCTTGAATCAAGATTCAAAGCCAATCTTGAGCTCTCAAAAGACCCTCAACATGAGGCATCTTTTCTCTAAAGGGAGCACCTTGCCAAGAAGCATAGCTTATGTAAACTTCTAGAACATCAGTTCTAGAGCCTCTCCAGTGGCTTGGGATGACCACAGCCTCTTCTGTTTGATAGTCAGGAAAGAACCTGGGGTCCCCTGGGGTGACTTCATCCCCAGCCCACCCCAAGGCTAGATGGACTGCTAGGGCAGTGCTAAGGTCTCATGTAAGAAAGAGTGAGTAGCTGCTTTCAGGCAAAAACCAGAAAGAAATCCCAGTCTCATTGCTTTATTTTGGTTAAAAATCAAGTCGGGTGACAATGGAAACTCTTCCCTTGCTCTCCTCTCCTTTCTGCCCGTGTTGACAGTAGACCAACTTGCTAATTCTGGCTGGGGTTTTTCCCTCCCTGGCCTGTTTTTCTCTTTTATCTTCATCAATTGAAGAAAGCTGTTCTGCCTTTCAAACTGTCGGAAGGTATCTGGGGTTTTGTGTATTTTTTTTTTTTCTTTCTTTCACATAATTCTGTGGGTCTTTTCCAGATATGTATTTTATCTCAAATTAACTTCTAACTTAAGTTTCCGCCCATGTGACTTCCAGCGTGAGTTACCAGAAACCACAAGAGAGAGAGAGAGCGCGAGAGCCCCAAAGCCAGCGACATGTCCCTGTGGGGAGCAGTGCTTCTGCACCCCAGCGTGAAGAGGACGCAGGGGTCAGAGGTGGCTGAAGGGAGCACAGAGGAGGGACCTGCCAAGGGCAGTGGGCTGGTAGCCTGGGAGCAGTCAGGAAGGGAGGCCAGCTGGTGACAAGACAGCCCAGAGGCATCTGGGGTTGGGTGGAGAGCTCAGAAGATTGCAGCCATGCCTCACAGCTCCGACAGCAGCGACTCCAGCTTCAGCCGCTCTCCTCCCCCCGGCCACCAGGT